TGGTTTCATTCTTGCTGTTGTGCTCTTCTTTCCTTCTTTAGTTTATAAGGAAAAATTTGGGAGAGTCAAGCAAATGAACTGGAGTTGAGAGCTGAGTTTGAAACTTGGCTGACATTGCTTCTGTGTCCCTAGGCAAATCATTTATCCTCTCTGAGTTTGTCTCCTGATGTTTAATACCACCTGCCTTACAGGATCACTGAGCAGATTAAAAGAAATAACAAGAGATGAGAAAATACCTCCCATGGTGCCACGGTGCCTGGCACTTTGTTGGACTATTTGTGAGATGCATCTATCTCTAGGAGGCTGGCCAGGGGAAAAGGTTGAGCCGAACAGACTAAATTCTAAAATCTAAAGGGAATGTTTTTAAAACAAACCCAGCAAACTTTTTCTATGTGCCCACGTGCAAGGCATAGACCAGGCTAGAAACTGCTGGGGTCCTTGGTAAATGTTCACAGGGTGTGAGGGACGGTGAGGTGACAGGTAGAAAAAGACCGAGTCAGAGAGGGCTAAGCCAGGTGCTGGAGGCAGGGCAAGGTCCACACAGTGAAAGGATTCACTGCAGAGAGACAAGTGAGACAGAAGGTTCCTGTGGCTCTCAGGCTGCCACTTTAACCGTCACTCGGCTGAGCAGGCAGTTTCTTATCTGGGGTAAGGCCTGCAAAGAATTCCCTTATCAGAGAGCCGGTTACTCAATTCATACCTATTCTCAGACGGTATGAGATAGAGGTATCCGTTGTCAATATAAAAATTTCTTTTTGAGTCTTTACCATGTGCCAGACAGTGCCCTAAGCTCTATTCAAGTATGATTTAATTGAATACAAAAATCCCAGGAGGTAAGAACTAGCTCTGTGAGACTCCAAAGCTGATGCTGTTAACTGCATAGTAGGCTTTCTTTCCTGACCAAACAACTTACAGGTAAAAAGACCTTACAAAATAGAATCCCAGGGTGAAGGATGAAGAAATATTTTAATGGAAGCAAGCGATGGTTTCATGTTCTAGCTATTCTGGGATGTAAACTGAGAGGTAAAAGAGCTTAATTCTTGCTACTATATAAAGAAAGGTCAAGGGTAAGAAAGAAGAAAGACTTGTTTGTGATGGATACAGCTTTAGGTCCACTCACTGAAATGCTGAAGTGATACCTGGGAATAAGCCCCACCTTTCCCTAGGGTGCCCCATGAACCCTGGCCCCCTCCAGATTGCACTCCTTCGCCCCCAAGAAAAAGCCAGCCCATGGATGGGAATCAGCTCAGCCTTCTGTAGAAAGCCTAATCCAGCCCCTTGCACATGATGGGGTTTTAGAGGATTTTGAAAGCTTGAGGTTCTCTTCGATCCTACCCTGGTCCCTCCATCCCATACCCTGTGCCATCCCAGTTGCCCTGCCCTACACATGTTGTGCTCACTGGTCAGTGCTGCCTTCTCTACTGCTACCACTGACATGTCATCTCAGGGCCATTGTATCTACCTCTAGACTGGCACCTAGTATCCACGTTATGACCTCCTGACTCTACTGCAGACTGGAAAATTCCAGTCCTTGGCTTGGCCTTAAACTCTCCAGTCTGTCTTCACCTACCTTCTCAGCCTCACCTTTTGCTTCCCCCATCCCTCTAACCACCATCAATTCACCATCCCTTATGGAGACTCTAAAACCCACCAGCCCAAATTTTAACCTGTCTAAAATTTCACAAATCTTGCTTCCTTCAAGCTGGGGCTAGGGATGTAGCTCAGTTGTAGAGCTTAGCCTGTGTAAGCCACTGGGTTCAATCCCCAACACTTTAAAAAAAAAAAAAGCATCCCCTGACAAAAACTGGTAGCCACTCCAGACACCTTGCTAATCTTTCAATATATCACACACATTCATTCTCTCCTTAACTACCTACTTTTGCTCTCCCCTTATCTTACTTTATTTCTCTTCAAAGCATTTATCCTGATAGTCATATGTTTACTTAATGTCAGTTTCTCCCAATACTCCACGAGGGAAGGGATTTGTTCTGTTTCCTTTGTTGCTGTATCACGCAGGGCTGAAAATGCTCACCACTTCAGTATGTATTTGTGGAACAGATGTATGATCAGAACTCTCTCTCATTTGAGATTCTAGAATGTTATTACAGATAGGCCTCACAACAGCTTGTCTTGATTTGTCTGGGTTTTTTTCCTAATTAATAACCTAACCAGACAGTTTCTCAAAAGCACAGACTACATATTATTCACTTCCACAAGTAATGAAGACCTACTATGTGCCAGACCCCATATGTCTGGAACAGGCACTGAAGAAGACCTATCTTTTTTTTTAGTCCTGGCTCTCCCCCTAGCTGAATGACCTTGGGTAAGTCACTTTTCCTCCAGGAGCCTCAGTTTCCTCATTGGTAAAACAAAGACATGTTGAACACTATCTCAAAATCTCTCCTGGCTCTGGCAGCTACTAAAATTTGTAAGAGGTAAAACTTGGCTCAGTCCAGTTCTGTAGACATCACAGGCACTCAGTAAATATTTGATTTCTTTGTTGTTGATTCTCCTGTTACACAGGAGGAATGTAAGGTGTCTTGGAACATAATCTGCACAGAATAACAAGTAAAAATTCAAGTCTCACTTCCTTCTCTGACTCCCCACGTAACCTGGTTCTGCTGTTTATCATGTAGCACGCCTAAGAAACTAGCTTGAAGTTGGAAAATATGAACTCCAATCGCCACTTACTTGTCAATGGAACTTTAAATAAGTCACTCCTGGATCTTAGTCTCCTTACCCATTAAAAAAAAAATTGTTCTCAGAATATAGTTCAGTGGTAGTGTGCTTGTCAAGCATGTGTAAGCCCCTGGGATTCACCCCCAGTTTTAGTGAGGTACAGCAGCACATGCCTGTAGTCTCAGCTAGCTGGGAAACTGAGGCAGGAGGATTGCGTGAGCCCAGGAGTTCAGGGCCAGTCTGGAAAACATAGTAAGATCCTTTCTTTAAATACAATGTGCAAGGGGCTGAGAATGTAGCTCTGTGGTAGAATGCTTGTATTCCAAGCACGAGGCCCGAGGTGGATCTTGGGGTGGGGTTTGTGTGTGTGTGGGGGGACCATTTTAGTTTTCTCCAGCTTGTCAAGGGCACCCCATGTCTTCCTACCTTAGCACCTTTTCATGAAATTCCTGCTGCCTGGAATAGTCGTGGCCTTTTCTTTGCCACACTAATTTTGACTTATCAGAAGTCAGCATAAACTGGCTAACCAGACAGCCCCAAACATCCTTTCATTTTATTATTTATTTATTTATTTATATGGTGGCACTAGGGTTTGAACTCAGGGCCTCCAACTTTTTGTGATGGGTCTTTTTCGACAGGGTTTCACAACCTATTTGCCTGGACTGGCTTTGAACTGCCATCTTCCTGATCTCTGCCTCTTGAGTAGCCAGGATTACAGTCCTGAGCCACTGGCACCATCTTTTTTTTAAAGGAAGGTATCCCCTATCCATGCCCCTAAGCCCTGGTGCACTTGGTGGTTTATTTCAACTATGGTAGCACTTATCTCAATTGTTCCCTTCTTTATTGTCCATTGCTAGGACTGTAAACATGGCCAAGGCAAGGACTGGGTCCCTTTTGTTCACGACGTTACTCCTTGGCCCAGAAGTATACAACAAATGCTAGTTGAATGAAAGAATGTATAAACTACTGCATTCTAGACAGTTGCTCGTTCTCTCAGAGGAAGTCTGATAAGAACTATTGCACTGTAGGGCTGGAGGGGGGGGGTGTCACTCCTTGGTAGACCAGTTGTCTAGCATGCAAAAGGCTGGACAAATCTCCAGCACTATGCACACATACAAAACCCACTACACTCTAAGACCTTTCACAATTTTCTGAGAATAAACTTCAAGATGGGAACCCTCATTACCCAGTAGTTAGAAAGTCACTGGACGTCACCTGCATTGAAGAGCTCTGGAAGCTAATATATACACACATATATATATTTTTTTCTTTTTTTTTTTCCAGTAAAGGAAAGGACTTAAGTCATTTCCACCCCGACTCTTTCTCCAGAAGTCCACTATCACCAGTCAGGAGAAAAAAAATCTCATGCTCCCATGGCGAGGAAGTGACCCTCTGGCAGTCTGGTCCTTGTATTCAGGATGGAGGAAGTGACTGTCCATAGCCAAGGCCAGGAAGCGGAGGCAGACATCCAGGCTCTCCAGCCCCCGCCCCCACCCCTCATTCTCTCCTGGCACCTCTAGAGAACTTTCGGAAGCTGACCCTGATGGACTCAGAGGCTGGGCCACCCACTCAGGTGGCTGGGAACCAGGCGACAGAAGGTTCCTGGTGCCAGGGGACAGGAAGCTGCAGGGAGGACGTGAGAGCGGGCTGGCAGGTGGACTAACCCCACTCCCAAGCTACCTTTCACCTTCAGCCAGTCCTTCCTTCCAGAAGGGGTCTGACCACATCCCGCTGGTTTCCGAGGATCTGCAACTCCAAGGTCTTCTGTCCCATCTGAGGCTGAGACCTTGGAACCACGAGGATCCACTCTCTCCTTACCCCTAGTGCGTGTCCTCAACCCCAAGGGAGCCCACACTCTGACTGTATTTCCTGCAAAGAGAGATCCTAGGCACCAAGATCCCTGCGACAAGTTTGGGTCTTGGCGGGGAAGTCACACCGTCCTCCATTTTTCACGGGAAACCCAGAATCTGGGATAGCTCTGCATCCTCTACTTGTTCCTAACCCTAGCAGATCCTGCAGTCCTCACATTCCATACAGTCCCAAGGGAATCCCTGGCTCCTCAACTGGCTAGGAAAGAACTTGAACTTGGGGACCTGATGGGGATTCCTGGCAGAGCCAGAATCCTTTCCTTCGGGGACCTCACCTCGCGGGAAGCCGCCCAGCCCGCCCGCGGCCAGGAGCCCCCAGGCTTCCGGGTACCCCGCCCCCACTGCCCGGAGCCCCCAGACTCCAAGTCCCCAGAGGCTGCCGGTGTCCCTCAGGCGCCATGGGCCGGGGCTTCAGACATAACGGTGACACCCGGCGGCTCAATCCTTCCTTACCCGCCAGCGCGGCCATGGTCCCGGGGTGCGGAAAACAGGGGAAAGAAGGAGAGGCAGGAGCTCCCCCCAGCTCCCGCCACAGCCTCGGGTCAGGGAGGAGCTCAGCCTCAGGCGCCGGCGGGATGCACCGCCTACGGCGCCCTGGGAGGACCAAACGGCACCTGGCACCCGGCCCCGCCCGCCGACGCCCCGCCCCCGCCAGGCCCCGCCCCCGCCTGGATCTCCGCGGCGTCTCTGGCGCCCCCTAGTGCAAGCGACGTCCTCTGCGCGTGTGCGGGTTGGTGAGCTTGATTCTTAACACACATGACCTTCAAGCGCTCTAGTCCGGTTACCCGTTTTCCAGGTGGGGAAAGCTGAGGACCAAAGAGGTCAGATTCAACTACTTCTTACTTGGTGTAGGGCTTGGACGGCAATCTAGATAACTGACTCCCAGTGGAAAGCTCCTTGTTTAGAATCAGGATCGCTAACGTGGAGAAGCTAGGTCTACCCCCAAATCGCTTTGGCTGCGGGGGGGGGGGGTGTGCTATTAACTTTTCCTAGAAACTTCCAGCTAAAAGAAACCACTTTTCTGTGCCACTCTGAGTAAACTGACCCAGATATTAGGTCAAAGGTGGAGATGGCCCAACCAGCGTCCAGGAGCAGGACCCTTAGCAAGGCCAAAGTAGGCAGTCTTCCCTTGGTACTATGGGGCATTGGTTCCAGGACAGCCTCCTCCCCTCCCAAGTCCCCGGATAACTCCCTTACATAAAACGACATAGTCTTTGCATAGAACCCATGTGCAATCCTTTGAATCATGTGTAGGTCACTTATAAACCTAATACAAAGTGCTATAAAATAGTTATACTGTCTTGTTTAGGGAAAAAAGGTCTGTCCATGTGCACAATTTCTCCCTGAATATTTTTGATCCTGGGTTGGTCGCGTCCACAGATGCTAACCTGTGGATACAGAGGCCAGCTGTGCATCAGTGAGCCCAGCAGCCCCCTGCTGGAATATTGGCCTGCTATTCCTGGTTCTTCCAATTTTTCACAAGACCCAAATCCAGGTTATTTAGGTGAAATCTCCCACTTAAAAAAATGTTGGTAGCAATTCAAACCTTTAAAAAATGCTACATAAGCCAAACGAAAACACACCCGTTAACTAGATTTCTCTGCAGGCTGCCAGGACAGCAGACACTTGTCCCTGGGTTTGGGAGGAGATTCAGTGCTGACCATGCTCTTCCAATCTGATTTCTGTCATGGTGGTTCTTTGCCATCTGTTATTTCCCTGTATCAGATTTAGGTCACGGAAGTGCCTGAAAAACTGGGAAGAACAGATATGGTCCCAGGGAAATGGATCCTGCCTCTTACATTCCCACCATGGACAAAGTTCAGCCCAGCACTCAGGTAAATAAAGGTGAGCACAGTTCTCTTTCTTCCTGCTATAACCGTCTAAATCAAACTGGATACAGGGCAGATTCTTCTCCTCTGGGTGTGGCAGGTGACCCCTGAAAGTCCTGAGTGTATGCAGGCATGGGGAGGAGGGTGTGTCTGACTTCCCATAATTCCTGAGTGTGTTCAGTGGTTAGTTTTATGGTTTCTGAAAAACTGTCTGATTTATAGTAAACACAAGATTGTGCAATGAATGGAAGTGACAAGAATCATGGGACTCTTCTGACAAGCCACCTCATGGCTAGCCAAAAGGAGGCAGGGGTTTTCTCCTTCTGCATATGTAAAGAGGTTACACTATTTTCCTAGGCTTTGAGCTCTGGCAGCCTTGGGACCAGGAACTCCTTGGTGTCTTCCCTAGCCCTCTGACCCACAGGCAGGCACCCAGTCTGTCCTTCTCTTCTCTCTCCTTCCACTTCCTCCCTAACTCCAGCCTCATGATCTTCACCATCAGGAGTGGGTGTAGCCAGCTCCCCCAAGTTCTTTCCCGGAGAGTCCAGAAAAAGCCAGAGAAATGAACTTACAATGTAAAGGAAGGGCCAGGTGCCGGTGGCTCACGCCTATCATCCTAGCTAATTGGGAGGCTCAGATCAGGAGGATCAAGGTTTGAGACCAGCTCAGGTAAACAGTTTGAGAGATCCCATCTCTGAAATAACCAGAGCAAAATGGACTGGAGGTGTGGCTTAAGCGGTACAGTGTCTGCTCTGCAAGCCCTGAGTTCAAACCCCAATCCCACAAAACAAACACAAACTTAACTACGAAGCAAACCAAAACAGCAAGAAAAAAAATCAGAAAAGCACCTCAAGGTTCTGCCATCCTAAGGGTTCTGCTCTATTTGTACCCAGCCAGTGCCCTCACTCCAGATTGACCCTCTCTGACTTCTAGTCTCTCCCCTCCCGAGTCACCTCACCTTAGACTAATCTTCCAAAAATACGTTTTTGATTTTGTCAGCTCCTTGTTTAAACACCTTCAACAGTTCCTTGTTGCCTACAAAATAAAGGCCCAACCAAGCCCTCTTGAGTCAACATGTTGTACTTCTACTTCCTTCACACCTAAATTCTGCCTTACACCACCCTGCCATTCCTACAACCACCAGCTCCCCCTGTAACTTTATTGCTCCATGCTGGCCAGAAGCATATCTTTTGTTTCTCAACTCTAGAAACATTATTTTCAGTTATATCATTTTGCAACCCTTATGAATTAATCTAAATCTGCATTGTGCAATATGATAGCCACATGTGGCTATTTCAGTTAAAATGGGCTGGGGCTGGGCATGGTGCTGTACACTTGTAATCCCAGGTGTATAAAATAGGATTGCAGTCCAGGCCAGCCTGGGCAAAAAGTGAGACCCTAAGTAACCAGGGAAAAAAAGGGCTGAAGGTGTGGCTCAAGTGGCAGAGTATTTGCCTCCACGGTCCGATGTTCAAACTCCAGTATTACCAGAAAAAAACCCTTAAGACGGGGGAAAAATAAAGATGAAGGGAAAGCTATGCAAACGTAGCTAGAAAAATTCACTTCTCCTGATTCACTTAGCCACATTTCATGTGTTTGGTAGCCACATGTGGCTAGTGTCGGAGAGTGCTGACACAGAACATCCCAGAATCGCAGCAGGTTCTACTGGACAGTACTATTTTAAGCAACCATCCATTTAGTGAATGCCAACATCACAGAAAAGAACTGTAAGACTGTATATACATTTCTGGATAAGATCCAACAAGTATAAACACTTAAAACACAGTCTTACCCCCCACCCCTCCCAAAATCAAGGTTGAATGTGGTCAAGTCATGGATAAGAAGAACTTATTAAATATTTTTATTCTGGTGATACAAATAGAAAAACTGAGGTAGTGGGAACTCAGGACAAATGACCTAGCTTCTTTAAAAAAAATCTATAAAGGAAAAGAAACCTGAGACATGCCAGCACTCAGGAAAGGCTGAGAGGAGGATCTCAAGTTGGAGGTCAGCCTGTCTCAAAAAGCATGAAGAGAAAAGTAAAAGAAATTAAACAGGCCGGGTGCCAGTGGCTCACACCAGTAATCCTAGCTATTCAAGAGGCAGAGATCAGGAGGATCGCAGTTTGAAGCCAGCCTGGGCAAATATTTTGAGAGACCCTATGTCAAAAACACCCAACACACAAAAAAAAGGCTGAAGGAGTGGCTCAAGGTGGTAGAGCACCTGCCTGCAAGCATGAGGCCCTGAGTTCAAATGTCACTACTGCCAAAACAAACAGCAGCAACTTATCGAGCTGATTTGGATCTCAAAGTACTAATTTTTGAGACACAGTCCTGCTATGTAGCCCAGGTTGGCCTTGAACTCCCAATCTTCCTGCCTTATCAGCCTCCTGAGTGTGGGACTTTTTTTTTCCAGTACTGGGGTCTGAACTCAGGGCCTTGTGCTTGCTAGGCAGGCGCTCTACCATTGGAGCCACGCCCCCAACCCTCCACCCCTTCCATTTTTGAGACAGGATCTTGCAGTGTTGCCCAGTCTGACCTTGAACTCAAGATGCTAATGCCTTAGACTCCCAAGTAGCTCACAGGTGTGCACCACTGTGCCTGGCCAAATAAACTACATAAAAAAGCTGTGAGAGCAGGCTCTGTCGCGCGGTGGATAGCGCATTGGGCTTCTAAAAAGCTGAACAGTGGTTCAGTACGAGTGGATTATTGTTCGTGTGGATGCAACAGGACTGGACCTGACCTAATGAGGTACATGGCAGCTTTATTATTCGGTTTTACTGTTATGTTTTCTGCTGTCAGCAAAACCCTGTTCTTTTCTTACCTTACGGGGGATGCCTTACCCGTGCATCCCCCACTGAATCTTGGCACTGTTCAACTTGGTAACTGTTAGGCCAAAATCTAAGAGGCGGAAATGGGCTCTTTTTAGAGGGACGGCCAGTAGCTCTGGTATGTTGGAGCCTGAGGCTGAACAGGCACACAGTTTGGGAGAGGCCTTGGCTGAGGGCCCACCTGCCCTTATCACTGAACACATGGAGATTTTGACACTGAATGGCCAGTGACTTCCCTGAAGGTTCTGACAAGCAAAGCTCCAAGACAGTGGCCTGTTGCAGTCCACGAACTTGGCAGGACCAGGGCTGCCTGTCAGACCGGCTACACCTTGGGCAGGCCTATGGAGGAAGTCAGGCCTCCAGCCAACACTTCTGAAGACTTTCATCCTTGGTCACCAAAAACACTGCCAAGGCCACACAGGTGCTTCCCAGAGACCAGACCAGTGTGCCTCCTCCCCACCCATGGCAGAGACATAAGCCCAAACTCACAGCAATATAAAACCATTTGTTTAATCTAAGTCAAATCACTTTCACAATAGTGAAAATTAGTGCCTGGTAAAGGTGTGCTGCTGTACGTATTGCCATTTTCTGACTGTGCTCAGGACTGGTTGTTGTCCACAAGGGTGGCAGGAGGGTGAGGACTGAAAACACAGACCACACACACACAGAAGAAAGGTAAGCTGCCTTGGCAGAGGGTGAGTGGTGAGTCTAGAGGGGAGGGAAAGAGGATCCCCAGGTGGCTCCGACTCCTGGCACAGGGTGAGAGTGGGGTTTGTACACAATCAAGGGTACACAGCCAACCTAGCTTTGCTAACAGCATGTTCCTGGGATGCCTTTGCTGATGGAGCTCTCCTGGGCTCACTCTGCTTCACTGGAGTCCAAATGATTGGTTCTCCTACCTGTAAGTCGTCTTCAATCTTTTGGAAACTCAATTCTGTTGGGCTCACCTGGGTAAGGTTTTCCTCTTATTAGTTGGGGCCACTGCAACTTTGGTGACTTCCATCCAGGTAATGAGGGGGTGCCCAAGAGTGTTTAAAATCCAGCAATCACACTGTAATGCTGGTGGCTTATTCCTATCACATGGACTGTGCAAGTGAGCCACCTAGTCAATACTTTGTATTTGAACACTGAACTCTGACATTGGCAGGAGAAAGAGAAGGGCGGGGCTGTGTGGACAGAGGAGGGCTTCTTGCATCTCTGCAAAGTCTTGCTTTCCATAAATTACATAGAGCCAAATCTGGAAAGAAAGCACCAGGTAAGGCTTTCTCCCATGTGTGGGCTATTGCTGTAGGTAGGCTGGAGAAGTGAGCAAGAGGCCCCAGTGGAAGTCCTTCTCCCCTTACCATCAGGAAGAATTTCTAGGATGAAGCCTGGAAGGCAGAGCGAGAATTGTCCCACTAGGCGGGCTGTCCTACCTACCTGGTACCACACTCCCACAAGCAGACCTGGAGGAAAAGCATAGGAAATTCAAAACAAATCAGGGCTTGGGAAGAGAAATTCTCCTAGATTCCAAAGGACGACCACTGTGTCACCATGCTGAGAGTCCCCAGGTCATGCCACCTGGCTTTACACATCAGGAGTTGCTTAGGAGTCACAGGCTTCCCTGGTTCTAGCATACATATAAGGAGTTTTCAGGGACTCCATCAAGCCCTACCAAAAGTAGGGTCACAGGTGGGTCTCCTTGCCCCGTCTCTTCCTAAAGGACAACTTGGCTTCTGAAGATGGTTGGTCTTCCACATCAGCTGGGCTGACCTGTCAAAGCCTCCTTTCTTCTGGAAAGTTCTGAGAGGGCGCACTCAGAGCTTCTGAAAGCTACAGGGCAGGGCTGCTTGCTTGAGCCCACCGAAGGCCTGACTCCAAGTCCTTCCTAACACACAGCATTGAGCCTCAGCTTCAGTGGCGTCTGGTTGCTTGCCCTCTGGAAGAGAGGGACAGGTGCACACAGTTTTGAGGGGAGGATGACTGGAAATCCGAGCAAAGTGAGAGGAGGACCAAAGATACAAGGCCCACAGCTCATGAAAGATCTTTCGAGTCTCTGGTAAATTCATGAAGCGACCCCAGCTTCAGCTGCTGCAGCTGTGATCTCCTGGAACAGCGATTTCTTCTGTCTCTGCTGAGGAAGGGGAGGAGAGGAAGGAGGACAGGGCAGCACTGAGATCTGGTAGAGGAACGTCTTTGTATGAGGAGCCCCGCTGGCTTTGGAGGCCACTTAAAAAGGGGTATTTAAAGAGATGAAAGAATGTTTCCATAAATACCATTTGGCTCATCCCTTTGTTTTTGTATGTAAAACTGGGATGAAAGAAACTGTGAGTTTCTTTCTTCCCATCGTTTCCCAGTGCAGAGTCAGGACCTGCAGAGTAGGCTGGAATGGGATTTCATGGTACCACACACGAGAGGGAACTCAACACCAAGGCCTGAGGTTACAGAAGGGTGTTAGAGTAGTGACAACAGTCGGGTCCTTGCCATCTGGTCTTGAGTTCCATAGGTCTGATGGAAAAGCAAGATTCCAGGGAGTGTTACTGACCCCAGTGACTCCAGGGGTTAGGATTAGCCAGGAGTTGGGGTGGCAGGTCACCTCCAGAGGCCCGGCCGTGGGTGCAGACAGGAGCCAGGCATTAGGCAATCAGGAGCCAGAACATGATCACTAGGGCGACAAACAGGAAAAGGCGCGACAGGAACTGCTCATCCACGTATTGCGGCGTCCCAGGGACAGCTGGAGAGGCAGGAGGAAGGGGAGACGCTGTCAGAGGCTGTGCCCGTGCAGCTGCCCAATCAGGCCAGAAGTGCAGAGTACCAGTCATCACAATAAAAAGATTTCCAAACTCCAAATAATGAGAGGCAAAAGAAAAAGCATGTGGAACAGTGTAACAATAAGGACATGCAAATAAACCAGTGGCTAGCAGGAAACTCCTCAAGGGAACAGTAAACAAGAGCCGCTGGGACGCATCTTCTGCGCTGTGCTCTGCAAATGCTATCACTTGGTAGGTATTAGTCCTATTTTGAGCAAGAGGCAGCTGAGGCACAGTATGTGACCTGCTGAGGTCAGAGAGGCTCCCAAGGCAGGGCAGAGAGGCAGTGTTGTTCTCTTGCCTCTCTACACACTGCTCCCAGAAGGCTCTGCCTGCCTTTTTGGGAAAGAACTAGGATCCAGACATCCATAGCAACGTAGCAGGGGAACTGGGGTAAGGACCTGGGTCTCGTCTCCTCTCTGCTTTGAGAAAGGCTGCTATTTAGAGCTCCCTGTCCTGACTTTGGAGGAAGAAAATCCACATTCAGGATGAGCAAATTGTAGCAAACGTGACGAAGGAAAACTGTCATTGTTGTAGTGAGGAGATCCAAAGGCCAGCCTGGCTGAGGGACTAACTGGGGAATCCAGGCTGAGCCCTGGACCAGGTTAGAAGGAAGCAAGCTACCAGGCAGGTACCTACTGCCTCCACAGGGCTCTGTCCTTCCTTCAAGGCAAAAATGCATCCTGCCCTTTGCAGTCTCCTGCCCCTAAGAAAATAATATGTGAACAAAGGAGAAACATTCCAGGTAGATAAGGCAAGGAAGGGCGCCCCTATCATCTCTCAGTGTTGTACTACACTCCCCAGACGCAGGTGGCAAAGACTTAACGATCACCTGCTATATGGCAAGGACCAGGGTAAGGCAGGGAACAATTCAGTGACTTCTAAGTGGGTACCATCTTTAGAGCACAACTTATATACACAATGATGTGCCCACAGCACAGGATGCTCCAATGAGTACAAGCAGAGCTCAACAGATCTTGACTTGGGTGTCAGTTTGATAAAATCCAGGTTACCTACCTCAATGCCCTGCTCTACTCTGAATGCAGCTGGTATAGACAAATGGCTGGAGAAAGAAACGCAGAAGCAGATGACAATTCCCAAAAGGCTGAGGTTTGGGATCACGTGTCCTGAGGGAAGCTGGATAGAGATGCCAGAGAACAGAGAGAGTCGGGGGTAGATGTGCAGGACTAGGCTTTTCCTCAGCTTGGTATCATTTACACTTTTTCATTTTATGAACATAGGATGTGTAAACATGACTGAGAATTTCCTAATCTGTAAAGCAGAGCTAACCACACACAGATTCCCAGGGAGGCTATGATGATATCGAGTTTGGAACAGAAAGCACTCTGTGTGTCCTTGCCACTAGGTAAGTGCTCAGTATCATTGGCGTGAATACCAGTAATCTGAAAAGAATTTATGACATTTTGAAAAGGCTGGTTATCCGTGTAATGACAATTATCTGTAAGTTATATACTGCTGAATTCCAAGGAACTTTCAGGTAGGGTTACTAAGATACCTTCTTGATTTCTCAAGGAAGTAGGCTTACCTGGAGGAGGCCGTCCATCATTTATGTTAAATGCTGTGGCAAATATCCCAAAGGGAAATGCCCCAATTCCAAAAGACATCTGGAAGCCACCATCTCCAAATCCAAATCCCTGAAATCCCTGTGTGGAAGAAATGAAATTGAGAAAAGTAAGCATGTTCCCCCACACCTGTCAAACATGACCCATCTCAGAGGCCATGCCGTATGTGGCACCCATGTCTGCTCCTAGTTCCCAAGGGGTGGACGGTCAGCTTTTCCTCTCCGGGAATCCCAAAGCAGAGAAACTCTGAGGTCCATCTGCCCTTCCAGCTTAACTTTAAGCTAAAGAGCTAGAAATGGACCAAAAAAGAGCAGCTGTGACCAAATTAAACCACACTGAGGAGAGTCGGGATTGCAGGCCTAGAGGTTCTTTTCCAGACATGCTTTATAACACAACTGGGAATCACCCCACGCGCCAAAACAAAGGAGCACCGAAAGAAGCTGCACATTATCCGTAACAGCAAAGAAGTGGAACCCTCAATGGTCAACAATGGAAGTCATGATCAATATCCTGTTAACGTGATCTCTAGGGACCCCTATGCTGACTTACGCAACTGAACAGAACTCCTGTGACCGTGTTATCAGACAAAATTCTTTTGACCTCGTGGTGACAAATACATAACATGTAGGTATAGGGATAAGTAGTCTCTCTCAAAAATTTCTTTTAAGGACTGGCAAAGTGGCTCAAACAGTAGAGCACCTGCATAGCAAGCGTGAAGCCCTGAGTTCAAAACCCAGTAAAACCAAAAAAAAAAAAATCTTTTCAGCTGGGCATGGTGCATGCTTGCAATCCCAGCACTTGGGCCATGTAATGAGAATCTGTCTCAAAAACCCAAACCAGAAAACAGCAAAAAGGCTTAAAGTTTTTCTTTTCATGCTGTCACACAGATTTTTTTCTCCCTGTTACTGGGGTTTGAACTCAGGATGTTGTGTGTCACACAGAATTTAAAAAATCACAACACGTTTTTTTTGTTTTGATTAAAAAAGTAACACAAGCTTGTTGTAAGAAACTCATACATTCCAGGGTCTCCCTGGCCACTCCCGGGTCCTCCCAGGTAACAGCACCGGCAAGTGCGGGCAGGTTTCCCACACCTTTCCCGTGAACAGCAGTACGGTGAAGCAGCAGCTTCTTCTTCTAAGTGCACACTCTGCTGGGCTCAGCGCTAAACGCTGGGACACACAAGTCATGTTCAGTGCCTCTTTTCTTTTATTGAGTCAGAGTCTCACAACGTAGCACAGGCTATCCTCAAACTTGCCATCTTCCTGCCTCAGAGCCTCAGCCTCCCAAGTGCTGGGATTACAGCTGTGAACCACAATGTCTGGCTTACGTTTAATTCTTGCCTTAGCATCCTGTACATTTTAAAGAGAACTAAATTCAAGTTTGGAGAACAAGGTGTACAGTTTAAATCTAATTAACCTGATCTAAAACCTCAGCTCTTAATTACTGCATGTATTTTACAATTTTTTTTCTCTTTCCCTGTATCCCTGGTGAGATCTTTACAACAAATGATGAAAGAAACAATAAAAAGAAGAAAAAATACTGGACCAACTGTTCTTCACTAAGAGCTGATGCTTGTAAATCTTTTGCAAGTCACAAAAGTAGCCACTGCCTGTCCTATACAGAGAACCGTAGCATCAGGCTCCAAACTTCTGCTGGGCAGAACTCCCCAAAAAGGCTAACGGATGATTTAATAAGAGGGCAAACCTACTGGGAAGAAAAACAACTGGTTTCCACCTCCTTGGTGCAGCAATGCCTCCTACTTAGACCCAGCCTAGGTGAGTCTGAGGGCTCCTGGGACTGAGGCTGCCTTACTGGGGAAGGTGCAATTGTTTCATCAGGACCTACAGCTTCGTTGGTGCAATCCTGAAGGCCGACCTGCTCTCTTCCCTTCTAGCAATATCTATGTGATCCCTCAATCCTCACATTTGGTGGGTTTATGTGGCTTCAGGTGCTTGTGAAAGCTGGGGTGTACCTATGGCCACCAAAGCCCAGATCCCTTAGTAACTAATGCTCCAAGAGAAACAGAGTCTGAGAAGGCTAGGGGTTGTTGTCTGACGGTCAAGAGCAGGGTCTCCAGTAACACCCAGACCTGGGTTTAGCTCTGCCCATGGCCCTGCACAGGTCACCTCACATATCTGCACTTCAGTTTCATCTTTTAGATGACACAAGGCTTAAACAAAATCATACATATAAAGCTCTTAAAACACAGTTCTACCAATGTAAGAACCATTCAATAAGTAGTCACTGATAATATTATTATGGACAATCTGGAGAAGAGACCCTCAATTTCTATCAAGATCCTTGACTAAAATCCTAGTTCCAGGAATCCTTGTTCAAGTTAGAAAAAGAATGTATGCAAAGACTGTTACCACAGTATTATTTAAACAGTAAATTCTAGAAGCAACTAGAAGGTCCTGCAATCAGGAAAACCTAAATTATAATGCATCAAAATTCAATGGAAAAAACAGCAGCCTTTAAAAATAACAGAGCTGGGCGCCGTGGCTCTGTTAATTAATTCTAGTTGCTCAGACGGCAGTGATCAGGAGGATCATGGTTCAAAGCCAGCCCGGGGCAAACAGTTCACAAGACCCTGTCTTGAAAAAAAATCCAACACAAAAAAGGACTGGTGGAGTGGTCAAGGTGTAGACCAAGTTCAAACCCCAGTACTACAAGAAAATAAAAATAAGAAGAGGAGACTGACATGGCTCAAGTGGTAGAGCACCTGCTTTGTAAGAGCAAAGCCTTGCGTTCAAATCCCACTCCCACCAAGTCATCAAAATAGTAATAATGAGGAGGCAGGAGTGGTGGCTCACACCTATAATCCAAGCACTTAGAGCTGGGGCAGGAGACTGCAAATTCTCAGCCAGCCTAGGCTACACAGCAAGACCCGGTCTCAAAGGTCTTTTATTTATATATATATATATATATATATATATATAAATAAAATAATTACAAAAATAAAAATCAAATAAAACACATCAGCACATCATGGAAAATATTGCCAAAATTAGACATGAAAGCAGCACGTCTGGTGGTGGCCACACAGAAACACAAGTGCACAGCACACAGATGAAGACACAGAGAAATAACTTATAGACTTGGTTCTGGGATTCTAGCAGTTTGGGTATTTTGCTTTTAAAATTTCTTTAAAATTTTACCCCCTTTTTCACAGTACTGGAGCTTGAGCCCAGGGCCTTGCACTTGCTAAGCAGGTGTTCTTCCTGCCTGAGCCACAACTCCAATCCTTTATGCTTTTCTTAATTTTGGAACAGGGCTTGCTTTTATGCCTGGCCAGCCTGACAGCCTCCTATTTATGCTTCCTGGGTAGCTGATCTGATAGGCGCTTGCCGCCATGCCCAGCTTTTTATTGGTTGAGATGAGGTCTCAGGGAACTTTTTGCCTGGGCTGGCCTGGCCTGGAACTGTGATCTCTGCTGTCTGAGAAGCTGGGATAACAGACATGAGCCACTGAGCCCAGCCAAAATTTCTTTAGCAATTTAACAAGAAATTGCTTTTTCACAAAAGACGAATACTTGTTTTACATGTGCATATTTTCGAGTCAGTAATTCTAAGAATTTATCCTAATAAGATACATATTTTGTGGAACTGGGGGTTTGAACTCAGGTTTTGCACTCAAAAAGCAGGAGCTCTACCACTTGAGCCACAACCCCCCCCCCCCATTCTGCTCTCGTTATTTTGGAGAAGAGATCTCCAGAACTATTTGCCTAGTCTGGCCTGGAACCTCAATCCTCCAGATCTCAGCAGCTAGGATTACAGGAGTAAGCCACCAGTGCCTGGCTCACCTGAAATTTTTTTTTTTTTTTGGTAGGAAAAAAATGGCTTTGTACATAAGATGAAACAAAATAAATTCAACTTACAGATAAGGGTTAGCTCTATCACTCATCTCTTTAAAAAGTTTATATGACTATCCAATCAAAATCACCTGAGTATTTTTAAAGTAGAAAAAGCAGCAGCTAACTGTCCCCATGGGTTAGCTACATAAATGATGTTAAGTGCATACACTGGACACCAGTCATGACATAAAATATTCCCAGCAATGTGTCTTCAGTGAAACCTCAAGCTATACTGTTCAACGTTCCCAGTCTGGGTAAACTCCACAAGGGCAGGCACCATTGCTGTGTTCACTCATAAACCACCACTGCCAGGAATTATGAGCAGCACGCAGAAGGCACTTACTAGATGAAATTTTTAAAGTTACAAAAAGGAAAGGAGCTACACACTGTAAACATAAAAAAGAAATGCAAGCATAGTCAGTAAAATAAATATACATAATCAACAAATTTGTGTGCATATAATTATAGAAAAAAAGCAGGAACCAAATAGCCTTCTTAATTTTATAAAGTAAACAAAAAAAAACCCTAAAAAACAAAAGGAAGAAAGAAGGAAAAAGAAAAGAGGCCAAAATGCTCCCGGTGGCTATCTCTGGGTGGTGTGGTTATGAGTGATTTCCCTCCTCCTTTTCCTTTCTGCACTTCACAAGTTCTTTACTTTTATAATCAAGGGGAAAAACTGTAGGGACGAGAGGGAAACTTGTAAAGCCATGGCTTATTTCTAGAAGCTTCTCGCAGAATACTTCTCACCCCTCTGTTCTCCGGCTCTGGCCTCTGACCTTGGGGACGAGGAGGGGTCTTCTCTCTGAAAAGAAACAGTGTAAAGTGAGTGTGCGATCAAATGTCTTTAGTTGCTCCCTGTGAGGACTGGGAGCGCTTCACCAAGAGGGTCAGGCCATGGTCCCTCTCCTGCCCAGCACATAAGCTGTGCCACTTTAAACCAATTCAATTCTTCCCAGCTGTATAGAAAACCAGCTTGTTACACAACATTTACCAGGCTGCACTACAGCCTTAGCCTTGCAGAGACTCTGATCCACATGCCTTATGGAATTCTGCTTTTGGGTTTTTTTGTTTTTATTTTCAGTAGGACTAGGGTTTGAACTTAGGGCTTCACGCTTGGAAGGCAGGCCCTCTATGGGTTGAGCCACACCTCCAACCCAGATTGGAGATGGACAGTTGCCTTCCCTGGACCTGTGTATGGGCTCATAGCTGAGGTGACTGAGGTCCACGGTCTCTCTGATCGGCCCCTATGAACCTTAGCTTTACTTCTCACTACCTCTCACTGGGCCAGTACTCCATGCTGCTCTTTTTTGCCTCTAGGTCTCAGTCCCTCCCATCACTCACTTTATGAATGCTCAAATGAGGGCTTGTTACCTGACAGGCACTTGGGCAGGATGCAACCAATCATACCGTAGGGTGGGAAGGATTAAAAGAGTGTGATGGGAGAATGGGTGAAGAAAGACTAGTTTAAGGAGCAGGTGACTTAGAGCTGAACAATAAAAGATAGGTAGAAGCTAGAGGAAGAGGTGGTGAGTGCAGTGGTCATTTGAGCAGGACTTGGGAAGGCAGAAAAGGCAGAGCAGAGACCAAATACAAAGGCTGCTGAATGTGACAGGGCGGCTGTTTAAAAGCAGTCCAATATATCTGGTGTACAGGGAATGCTGGGGTGGGAGAAGGTGAGAGATGCTTTTGGACAGGTCTGGGGTACCAGACATTAAGGGCTTATGCCTGTAGAATGCTGGAGTGACCCCCTTCTCCATTTCAACAATCCCAAACTCCACAAAGCCCCCCAGACTCCCTGTTTCTGTCTCGCCATTCTGCACATATCCCTGCTGTAGCAACCCCACCTCCTGGATGCACTTTGTGCACATGCAATAGTGATGGGACTGTCTTGTGTACTCCTGGGTCCCCAGACCCAGCAAAGCTCCTGCTTGTTGGTAGATGACACTCAAGCTGAGCAGTCATCAAGCACCAAGTAAAGTGTTAGAGGGTGCTGAGTGGGAGTTGGTTCACCTGCAAGGGGAGAATAGGTGTGTGATGCACCCCAATCCCTTACCTGGGGTCCTGCTGCCCGGTGCTGCCTCTGCCATAGAGCGGGATGACCTTGTCTCGACTGATGCCGGCTTTGCAAACTGGACACACCTGTCTATTAGGTCGTGTCTCCAACCACTGCAAACAGAGAGCAAAATGCATTACTGGCCCAAGGCCCACCACAGAACCCTCATTAGAGGCAGCAGAATACCTGCCAGAGGCCTCAAAGTGGCAAATACCAGCACAAGCAGGGACCACCTTGCAGAGCCTAACTTGATTCCTGCTCCTAGTACTCGATAAATATTTACTAGAAGCGAAATAAAAATTGCCTTTAAGTACCACATAATTAAACAGGCTTCTTCATGCTTTGTTGCTCTCTAGGGGCTGCTAGCAATACAGCAGGAAGGAGCTGCAACCCTGGGGCTGTCAAGTCTCAGGTCAGGCTGCTGGTGTGGGTATAACAAACCTTAAACCTCCATCTTCCCCAAGGATCATTTGTATTATCCTTATGTAAGTCATATTTCCTTTCTGTGATTTTTCTCATTTTTAATGGCATTTCCTCAACAAATATCAGCACCTGAACATAAGTTGATTTACTATAAGGTGATTTACTATGTTAAAGGAAAAGATTTTGCTCACTGTCAAAATTTATTTATTTATTTATATTTATTTTTGCATTACTGGGGTTTGAACTCAGAGCCTACACCTTCACCAACCCTTTTTTGTGATGGATTTTTTTGAGATAGGGTCTCAAGAACTATTTGTCAGGGTTGGCTTAGAACCAAGATCCTCCTTATCTCTGCCTCCTGAGTAGCTAGGATTATAGGCCACCCGGAGGCCAGCTCTTTATTTATTTATTTTTTAATGAACTCTCAGAGATTGTTGTATTCAACTATGTTTTTCAATATCAAAAACACCAGAATCTTGCTTGGGGTTCTGCAGGCTCTTTTTGTTGGTTACATTAAAAATATTTTGTGTAGAGCTGATGGTGTGGCTGAAGTGGTAGAGCACCTGCCTAGCAAGCTCTAGGCCCTGAATTCAATCCCCAGTACTGGAAAAAAAAAAAAAAAATCCTGGCCCAGTGGCTCATGCCTATAATCCTACCTATTTGGGAGGCTGAGACCAGGAGGGTCATGGTTCCAGCCCAGTCCAGGCAAAAAGTTAGTGAAACCCCCATCTCCACCAATAGCTGGGCACAGTGGCACATGCCTGTCATCTCAAGCTACAAAGGAGGCTGCAATCGGGAGGACTGCAGTTTCAGGCTGGCCCCAGCAAAAAAGAAGGTGGGCATGGGTAGCATCCCAATGATGGCAGGAAGCATAAAATGGAGGGGTGACAGAACACACCATCTGGGCAAAATAACCTGCGCAAAAAGGGCTGGAGGCGTGGCTCAAGCAGTAAAGCGCCTTTCTAGCAAGAGTAAAACCCTGAGTTCAAACAACAGTATCACCAAAAAAACCAAAAAACAAAAAACAAAGTACTTAAATTTCTTAGAAATAAAAGACAAAACACGCCCGTAATTATAAACCTATAATGTCTTTGTAGACATTAGATAATTTCACTTGCATATTTTGCCCGCTAGGGATGAAACCCAGGGCCTTGCATGTGCTTAAGTATAACTCTACCACTAACAGACTCTCAACATTTATTTAGAACATAAATTGCATCCAAAGATAGGTGGTTTATTATATGAATGCCAATCTAAGGCTCAGGGATACAGAGGAAGCAGCATTTAATGACTTTATACCCTGCTTTACCTTTTTTTTTTTTTCGGGCAGCACTGAGGTTTGAACTCAGGGCCTCACGCTCACTAGGCAGGCTCCACCACTTGAGCCCCACCTCCAGACCTTACTTATCCACTTTCTTTATCTGTCAGTGGCTCCAAACCTGTGTTCCTCCCAAACACACAGCGGGTACGTGCCACCAGGTTCCACGGAGCTAGAATCTCATCTCCACCCATTCCTCCTCCTCCCACCCAGACTCTGAGCTCTGGCCGTCTGGAACTTACCTTCCATACATTCCTAACCACCTCTGAGTGGCCAGCCACCTGAAGTGTGGTGCTCCACCACAATGGCTACTCAGCTGCCAGTGACAGCCACACCCAGATGCGAATGTAAGGCCCAAGCAGGTGTGTGGATCTTGGGCGACTACTAATTGGTTTTCATGATAACCTAATGCTTGGAAAACAGATTTTCCTCTCTCAAAGAAGCTCTCTATTAATACCAAAAGTTACCCCTTCTTAACATTTTCAAGCTCTTTCAGGGAAGGGGGGGGACTGTTGATATGACAAATAATTCTTTTTTTTTTTTTTTTTTGGTGGGACTGGAGTTTGAACTCAGGGCTTCATGCTAGCAAAGCAGGCACTCTACCACTTGAGCCACTCCTCCAGTCCATTTTGCTCTGCTTATTTTGGAGATGGGGCCTTGTGAACTATTTGCCTGAACTGGCCTGGAACCACGATCTTCCCAATCTCAGCCTCCCAAGTAGCTAGGATTACAGATGGAGAAAAAATACTTTTTATTTTAGAATCTTTAAAAGAAAAAAAAAAAAAGGAGGTAACACATTATCAAATCAACCCAATTTACAAAGGAGGACTTGAGACCCAGAGAGGCAGTGGCTGGGCAAAGCCAGCAGTGACATAGTACCATCTCAGGTGTCACAATGTCCCCTGATCACAGTAAGTGCCTGTCAGTGGACAGGTCCAGTGTCCCCCCCCCCCCCCCCCCCCCGCACCCCCCCCGCCCACCCCCGCCCCCCCCACCGCACCCCGCGCCCCCCCCCACCCCCCCCCCCCCCCCCACCGCCCCCCCCCCCCGCCCCCCCCCCCCCCACCCCCCCCCCCCCCCCCCCCCCCCCCCCCCCCCCCCCCACCCCCCCCCCCCCCCCCCCCCCCCCCCCCCCCCCCCCCCCCCCCCCCCCCCCCCCCCCCCCCCCCCCCCCCCCCCCCCCCCCCCCCCCCCCCCCCCCCCCCCCCCCCCCCCCCCCCCCCCCCCCCCCCCCCCCCCCCCCCCCCCCCCCCCCCCCCCCCCCCCCCCCCCCCCCCCCCCCCCCCCCCCCCCCCCCCCCCCCCCCCCCCCCCCCCCCCCCCCCCCCCCCCCCCCCCCCCCCCCCCCCCCCCCCCCCCCCCCCCCCCCCCCCCCCCCCCCCCCCCCCCCCCCCCCCCCCCCCCCCCCCCCCCCCCCCCCCCCCCCCCCCCCCCCCCCCCCCCCCCCCCCCCCCCCCCCCCCCCCCCCCCCCCCCCCCCCCCCCCCCCCCCCCCCCCCCCCCCCCCCCCCCCCCCCCCCCCCCCCCCCCCCCCCCCCCCCCCCCCCCCCCCCCCCCCCCCCCCCCCCCCCCCCCCCCCCCCCCCCCCCCCCCCCCCCCCCCCCCCCCCCCCCCCCCCCCCCCCCCCCCCCCCCCCCCCCCCCCCCCCCCCCCCCCGCCCCCCCCCCCTCATTTTTCAAAGGACGAAACCCAGGTCAGAAACATGCACCAACTTGACCAGGACTAAAAACTAAGTCTCTGGATTTCCAGTTTACTGCCCTTTCAACAGCCAGCACAGCGTGCAAAAAATGACATGTACAGAATTAAAGGAAAAAGTATTCCTTTCCGATTTTCCAACGAATATCCACTGCACTCCTACCACGTCCAGGGGACAATGCAGAAGGAGTGTCTGTCCCCTACACATCATGGTTTCCTCTATCTAGGTAAACCCTGGGTGAGGATGGCTCCTTTCTTAATTTCTTAGCAAGCTTGTTTCCCAAACCAGACCCAGCCTTCCCGGATGTAACAGATGCCTCGCATCTGAGTGATCCCACTCTAACCTCTGCAGAGGGCACCCCAAGTCATGGCAGACCTCCACTGGCAGCTTCCCTCAAAGGCAGTGGGGGAGAAGTGCAGGTGGATGAATGACAATGATGGGGATTCCTCCTATTTACTAACCTCCTATTGCCAGACTGCAGCTGACAGCTTTTCCTCTCTTAATGTCACGGAATGGTCACATTAACCTACCAGGGGGCACAATTCTTTCCACTTCACAGATTTTCCCAAACATGTATCGCCCAGTCTGGAAGCCCTGCTTCATTTTTGAGTCTCTGTTCTTTCCAACGGCACCTTGCCTCTTAATTCTTAATTCTGGCACTCATTTCAAGACCTGATTTTATGATGCCCTGAAGAATTCTCCAGGGGAAGGCTGATCACAATTTCTTTATATAACCACCATTAGAACAAGAGTCTCAAGCTGGAGGCATGGTTAAGAGGTAGAGTGCCTGCCTAGCAAGCACAAGATCCTGAGTTCAAACCCCAGCACCATCAAAAAAAAAAAAAAAAAAAAAAAAAAGAAGAGTCTCGAGAATAAAAATCTCTGCCCCATTCTATTAATTCACCCATAAATTTATCTTTTACACTGTTGCCAACTTAAATTTCCCTAAATATTGCTTAAATGACCCTCTCTTCATATCTTCCTGCTCAAAAAAATGCACATTAGCTCTAGGCTATGTCCTGTTAGTTAAATCTAGGTTTAACAATACAGCCCAACCCTCTACAACCATCCTCTCTCCTGACAAGCCCAGTCCCCACCAGGGTGCTATGAAAGGTGTGCAGTAGCCTCAGGGACTCAGATGAGGCGAACAGCGTACATGTCTGTCTTTCAAAATTGCCTATCTTGGGGTGACACACCCTTCACCCTTCCTGCCATTCTTTCCTCTGTTTTCAGTTTCCCCTCACCCTCTGAGGTTCAGCTCAAAATCTCAATAGAAAAAAACCCACAAAACTCAACATTCACCCAGGTTCTCAGAACCAGCAGGGAACTTCTGTAACCATGGAGGGTGCCACTTCATTTTGATATACACACATATAAGTAAACTACAGTGACAATTATGATCACAGCTAACCCACAGTGTTCTTCTAAGCCTTTTGTATATTTTGGGTCATTTAATACTCACAGACAACCTGTAAAATGAGGCAGAGAGAGTGTGTAAGCACTTTGTCCAAGGTCATCAGTTGGAAGGTGGCAATCACTCTGGCACCACAGACCTTGCTTATAACCTCTATACTCTACTGCCGCTAGGTTCAGCAAGGGGCAGGCAGTGAACGATCGCTAAGTGAGGAGATAATGGGGAGAAGCCCAGGTTGGAGATGGGACTTGCCCAAGGTCACCCAGATCATCAACAGCAGAGCTGGTATGGAAACTGAGGTCTCCTACTCCTCGGGCCTGAGTGTAACAGGACCCAAAGAGGACAAGACGCCCTCTCCTCCAAAGCTGCCCAGGACCATGGGCTTTCCAACCTTGACAGTTGTCCTCTGGGATGGCAGCAGGGGTACTGACCAGAAGAGGTGGCCACACAGGCTGATGACGGCGTCCTTGGCTGTATCCAGGCATATGTTGCACTCAAAGGTGCTGTCCTGTCCTCCACTCTCACCAGTGCCATTGCTGCTCCCGCTGGGCCCCCCTGCACTGGAGTTCTCAGGGGACGCAGAGGCCGAGGGCCCCTTGCTGGCCATCCTTGGCTGTCAGCAAAGCTTTGAGTGAAGATTCTCCTTGGAAAACCCTGAAAGGCAGAAAGCCCTCAATTGCCATTTCTGTAGCTCGCAACCCCCGCCCTTGGGTCCCCCAAACCAGCTTCCATGCTAACATCCCATCTTCTCTCAGCTGCAGAAGCAGATCACTACTGAATCCCTGAGCAGACTTCCCAGAGGGCTGCAGGACAACAGCTCTGGGCTGGTACCCATGAACTTGTCATGAACGTGGCCCAGAATATTCCCTATGAATACACAGAGCAGCCTCTACAAGGTTCTCAATAGGAGCTGTCTCACTTGTCTTTGTTTTCTCCTGCAATGCCCAATGCAGGTGGTAAACGCAAGCTCGCTTAACGCGAACTTCCAGGCTGCCCCGACAGATGGCCTCTGCGTCGGCCAGAAAGGAACGTGCTCAAGGCTGTGGCTGGTAGTGCTGGAATGCACACAGAAACCGCGTAACTATGGCACATTAGGAAGCTAGGAGGAGCAGATGATGCCTTCCGCCTTCGCTTTCCTCCTCCTGCCATGCGGGAGGACCACCTACCCTCTTTTGTCTAAGTGTATCAGCACTTTAGCCTGAGTGCATTTAAGGAGAACTTCATGTCACTGCTGGAAACGGAGAGTCACTGTGCTACCTACTCTAAGTGCAAAATAGATACAAACACAACAAAGGACAAGTTGTTGATCCTTGGGCCACCTGAAGTCATGTGGCATGCTCCCGCCGTATGTGGTCCCATCCCTTCAGGAAACTGCAGCCTGAGTTACCTTGGCTAGCTCTAACACAAAGCTGAGATCTGGACTTGTGACCCTCCATTTGTATGCAAACCACTGAACCACCACAGACCAAGCTAGACACCAAACGCCAGTGTTGACTACCACTTCCAAGTCAGAGCCCAGCCAGGAGCAGAACAAGGGACACCATCACCAAGGGACACCCAGAAATTCTGGGTACATGCTAAATATCCATCAGAAGCCCAATCTGTCTACTCTCACACCTCAGAAATTCTAGGTAGGAAATGTCATAGAACTGGAGGCTTGGAGGCTGGCCTCAGCCCAGCTTCCAGCTTGCTAGGAGGCGCCCACTTCTCTCCTGACCACACTTTCCTTATCTGTAAAATGAGGCACTGGGCTACGTGGTTTCTTAGGTGCCCCCTTCTTTCCAGCTCCAGGTCATCTCACCTACCGCCTCCAAAGCAGGTGGCCCTCCACAAGTCTAGGAATCACCACTAGAACACCTGATCTCAGCTTCAAAAGTATGAGAAGATGAGGACTGGATCCAAAACCTGCAGGTTCCTCAGACCAAGAAGCCCTCCACTGCGTCTTCATGGGGTAAACTCAACGTGTGGGGCTCCTGAGTGTCTCTCACTACGGCAACAGCTTAGTGAGTTGAGCAGGGACAGGAGGCTGGCTCGCTACCACTTTTTCACTTAGTTACATCATTTTACGTGATGTCCCAGAAGGGCAGCTGCTGCCGACAGTGCCTCAGTTCCAAGGCCTTCTCCCTGCCCGAGCTCCCGCCTTTTCATCCACATCCCTCTTCATCTGAGAACACAGCCTGCTTTTCTAGTCATGCCAGTTCAAGAACCCTAGGCACCTGATCTCTGTGTGTTCTTTTTCTTTCTTTGCCAGGGCCTTGTGCATGCTAGGCAAGCACTCTACCACTGAGTTCTCCCCTCAACCTCAGTGCTTCCTTGTTAAACATTTTTTATCTTTTAAAATTAAGAATAAGCCAGCATGGGTGTGCAGGCCTGTAATTCTAGCACTCCAGAGGCTGAAGCAGGAGGATCTTGAGTTTGAGGTTAAACTGGGATACATAGTGAGAACCTGTCTTAAAATACAAAACATAAAAACCCACAAAAAAACTACATAATCAGAGAGAAGACTACCGTAAGGCCAGGCTCACCAGTCAATCCTAACAAGTCTCCTGATATGATGCAATAGGAGGTACTCAACACCAACCAAGCACGCTTGCCTTAAAGCATATATTGTTTTGGTTTTTGTTGTTTGTTTCAGTCAGGGTCTCACTATATAATCCAGGCTGGCCTCGAACTCATTATCCGACTGCCCCCATCTCCTGACTGCTGGGATTATAGGTACACGCGATGATACCCTTCTAAAATAGGACTTTTTTTGCGGTTCTGGGGTTTGAACTCAGCACTTTCTACTTGCTAAGCAGGCGCTCTATCACTTGAGCCACTCCACCAGCCCCCTAAAACATAAAATTTTTAATCAAACCACAAAAACAAATTACTGTAATCTCAGCTAGATAGGAGAATCACAGTCTGAGGCCAGCCCTAGGTAAAAACTCAGGACCCTACCTGAAAAATAACTAACGCAAAAAAAGGGCTGAAGGCATGGCTCAAATGGAAGAGCCTAGCAAGCTTGAGGCCCTGAGTTCCAACCCCAATAATGCCAAAACAAAACCCAAAATGGTGACCATAACTGTTTACAGACAACATAGAGGATGCATGTATTAAACAGCTCCAGAGAACGCAATCAGCCAAATCCTGAATGTGATACTTTCTACAGGACAGATAACTCAAGTTCTCAAAAAATTAAATAGTGCGGGTAGGGCTCAATGTAGATCTTACTGGAAGCTGACACAAATAAATCCACTGTAAAAGAATATTTGTGAAATGAATGACAAAAACTGGACTGTGTATTACTTGATATGGTGGCTCACACCTGTAATCTTAGCTACTCAGGAGGCAGAGATCAGGAGGACCATGGTTTGAAGCCAGTCTGGGCAAATAGTTTGCAACCCTATGTCAAGACAACCATCACAAAAAAGGCTGGTGGAGTGGCTCAAGGTGGAGGCCCTGAGTTCAAACTCCTGTACCGCAACAAAGAAACTGTGCCGGAAGGTTTTACAACTAGGCAGCTGTCTTTGCAGCTTTAAACGGTGAGGGGAGGTAGATCTCACATCTCTTCGTAGTTGAGAAGTGAGTGGCTCTGGCAGCAGATAAGCTGACTTGTAAGAAAGGGACTGGGCAGTATGCGGAAAGGGGTCCTTTGTAGAGAATGTCAGCAGAGGTTAACAATGTTCCAAAGGTCAACTTCCATCTGGGAGTGGGTGGGTCCAGCCTAGTTCAAAGATTCAACTGGGGAAGTGTCTGAGATAGAATTAACAATGGCCTTCCTATTCTGTTTTAAGGGCCTGGAATTTAAGCTCCTCACTTTCCCCGCCTTTGGCAGAATTATTAATTTTGTTGGGTATGATTGTGGTATTATGTGACTTTCTTAAAAATCTCATCTGCCAGACATATGTACTGAGAGATGAAAAGGGTAGATCTTTGGGACTCGCTTTAAAATATTCCAGGGGAAAACTCAAAGTGCAGAGAAAAGAAAAAAACACAAGAACAAGGAAGTTGGTTATTGGAGCTGGCTAATGAGTAGGGATTGTGTACAAGTCCATTCTGGTGTGTATTTCAACATTTTCATAGTAACAGGTACTTTTTTAAGAGGTCAGGCTGCAGTAAATCATGTTTATGAACTTGAACTTGTTTGGGTAAAAAAAACCAAAGTACATAAATGAGTATATGTAGATATATGCACATGCACAAACAAAATATCGAGAAGACACTAAGCTATCAACAGTTATTTCTGATATTATGAGGACCGGAAACTTGGAATTTCTATATTCTTATCTTGCTTTAATGCTTTATAACAAGCAAGTTCTTACTTTTATAATAACTTTTTAAAAAGAAATCTGTAAAATATACGTATATTACGTGTGTTACAATAACAAATATAATATTAGAAAATATCTTACAATATGCTATCAGTGGTTTTAGTTCTATATTGGTAGGGATTTTTAGTAATAACTTACATGTTCTAAGTCCTCCAAGTTGATAAAACTGATTTTTTTTTTGTGGGACTGGGGTTTGAACTTGGGGCTTCACCTTTGCAAAGCAGGTGTTCTGCTGTTCGAGCCACGTATCCAGTCCATGTTACTCTGGTTATTTTGGAGATAGGATCTCACAAACTATTTGCTCAGGATGGCTTCAAACCATGACCCTCCCGAACTCAGCCTCTGAAGTAGCTAGGATTACAGGTGTGAACCACTGGTCCCTTGCTTAAAACTAACATTTTCACATATATTACTTATTTTTTGGCGATACTGAGGTTTGAACTCAGGGCCCACACTTTAAGCCACTCCACCAGCCCTTTCTTGTGATGAGTTTTTTCAAGATAGGGTCTTGTAAACTCTTTGCCCTGGCTGGCTTTGAATCTCGATCCTCCTGATCTCTGCCTCCTGAGTAGCTAGGTTTGCAGGTGTGAGTCGCCGTTGCCCAGCTCCACATACATTACTTTTGAACTCAGACAAAAGAGTAATAGTACATTTAAGAAAAGGTCCCCCAATGTTCCAGTTTTCCCCAATCCTGAAAAGCTCTGAGTTCAAGTCCTGACTCCCTTACTGAGGGTTATGACTTGAATTTCTTTTCTCCCCTGAAAAGTGAGGATATTATGCCTCCTACTCACTGAGCTACTGAGGTGGCCCTATGAGGCAGCAGTGACCCACAGGGCATACCACAGGAGTTGCTGCTGCTGAGGAGATACATGTACACCGCATTTACCATGGCTCACGATACCTGGACCAACAAGACTCTGCACGGCCTATATTCTTACACACCGCATAAGAGAAAAACGAGGATGAAGACAGGTAGAGGTGGGAATGGTCAGGAGACAAGAGATCAGCTTGGGTCAGCAAGGCGTGGCAGGCTTGCAGCAGGCCAGATATTGGGACAGGCTTGTAAGTCCCAACTCTAGACTGCCCCCTTCCCTGGCCTCATTTTACTAGGCACTCAAACATCAGCTGAGTGGGTGCAGGCATCCATGACTGGTTTTGGTCAATTGCCAAGCCAGCTGCTCACAAACCTCTCTGCAATGTATTCTGAGTTCCAGAGTCACACCCATCCCTGGAACCTCCTCTCCTTACCTCCTCCCTGATCCCATGCACAAGAACCTCAATACACCAGGGTGGCAGAACAGAGATGAGCAGTCTCCCCTGGGGG